CTGCTATTCCCCCTTCCAGCACCCTAACTTCCTGTTTTCTGCCTGGGACACCCACAGTCCAGGTCCCCATACTCATGTCACTAGAGTTAACGCTAGGTGCAGCAGGAAGCCCGAGACCCTGCCCAGGGGTCCTCTGCACTTTGGCACATTGTTAAATATTTTGAATGTCACCCTTGGCTGTGACACATGAAAGTAACTTTTGCCTCTGCCGATTTCGCAAGTGCCCACAATCCTTGGCTGCAGAATGACTCAGACTCTCCTAAGGGCAGCGTCCCCACCATGTACCCTGACATTGCCTTGTCATTCCCTCGTCAGCTGACAAATCTCCTTTCCTTGCATGAGCTCACTCCGTCCTTTCCTCCGGCTGACTTCAGAAAAGCAGAGAAAAGATGCTGATTCTAACCTCCTGCGGTTTCCAGGATTGTCAGATGCAAACAGCTTGCAAAATTTTACCCCTGCAGGACCTCTCCAAAGACTGGAAATAATGGAGTGTCCAGAGAGAGGGGACTGGCTAAGTTGATGATGGTACATCCAGGCAACGGAATACTATACAGCCATCAAAAAGAATGAAAAAGTCAGCCAGGTGCAGTGCCTCATGCCTGTAATCCTAGCACTTGGGGAGGCTGATACAGGGGGATTGCTTGAGCCCAGGAGTTCAAGATCAGCTGGGTATAGCAACACCCTATCTCTACAAAACACAAAAAAACAAACAAACAAAAAGAATGAGGAAGTTGTTTATATAATGATGTGGAAAGATCCCCTAGATCTAGGGTGAGGCCAGGTGCAGTGGCTCACGCCTGTAATCCCAACTGCCTGAGAGGCTGAAGCAGGAGAATTGCTTGAACCTGGGAGGCGGAGGTTGCAGTGAGCTGAGAACATGCCAGTGCACTCCAGCCTGGGTAGAAAAACGAAAAACTGTCTAAAAAAAAAAAAAAAAAAAAAAAAGAAAGAAAGAAAAGATAGAGAGAAAGAAGGAGGAAGAAAGGAAGAAGGGAAGGAAGGAAAAAGGAAGGAAGGGAAGGGAGGGGAAGGGAGGGAGGGGAGGGGAAGGGAAGGAGGGAGGGAGGGAGGTTGCCCATCCCTGGGAATCAGATTTTATAATTCTAGAAACCCAATCATTGGTCCAAAGATGTAAGCAGAGGTACAGTCAGGTTTTAAAGAGTGAATATTGGGCCGGGTGCGGTGGCTCATGCCTGTAATCCTAACATTCTGGGAGGCTGAGGCAGGTGGATCACTTGAGACCAGGGGTTTCAGACCAACCTGGGCAACATAGTGAGACGCCATCTCAACAAAAATATAAAAATTAGCCTGGTATGGTGGTGCATGCCTGTAGTCCCAGCTACTTAGGAGGCTGAAGTGGGAGGATCACCCAAGCCCATGGAGGTTGAGGCTGCAGTGAGCCATGACACACTACAGCCGGCATGGCAGAGAGACCCTAACTCCCCAAAAAAAAAAAAAAAAAAAAAAAAAACCAGGTGTGATGGCTCATGCCTGTAATCCCAGCACTTTGGGAAGCCGAGGCGGGAGCATCACAAGATCAGGAGTTCCAAACCAGCCTGGCCAACATGGTGAAACCCTGTCTCTACTAAAAAAAATCAAAAATTAGCTGTGTGTGGTGGCGTGCACCTGTAATCCCAGCTACTTGGGAGGCTGAGGCAGGAGAATCACCAGAATCCAGGAGGCAGAGGTGCTCTGAGCCAAGATTATACCACTGCCCTCCAGCCTGAGCAACAGAGCAAGACTCCATCTCAAAAAAAAGACCAAATATTGGCAGCAACCTAAATTTCCATTGACAGGGGATGAAACCTCCAATTGGCATGTTACTCAGCTGATGAAAGAAAGCAAGAAAGAAGCACCAGTCTCATCAACACAGCAAAACCCCCCTCTACAAAAAGTTTTCAATCTAGCTGAGTGTGGCGGCATGCACCTGCAGCGCCATCTGCTCAGGAGGCGGGGGTAGGAGGCCTCAGCAGACCCTGTCTCCAAAAAAAGAAAAAAAGGAGGAGGAGGAGGCAACTCCCTTGAAACACACAGGAATGGAGTACCTTCCTCAAAGACGTTTCAGGGGAAATTCACGAATGCCTTCATACATCGCCTCTCGCATGCTGTAAGCTCTCAATAAATGCTAGTTAATAATACGGTATGTTAGTCATGAAAAAAGCCAGGTGTGGGGTACTGTACAAAACATACTGCTATTTGCAAGGCTGGGAAAGGATAGAAATGTCACCCACATTGAGCGCCAACTGTATGCCACGTGCTGTTACAAGAACTTTTCATGCCTTACCTTATTCAATTCTCTCCACTAGCCTACGATGTGGGTTCTGGTCTTATCCTCACCTTAAAGATAAGGAGAAGGAGCCCAGGCGCAGTGGCTCACGCCTGTAATCCCAGCACTTTAGGACGCTGAGGCAGGAAGATTGCTTGAGGCTAGGACTCCAAGACCAGCCTGGCCAACATGGTGAAACCCCATCTCTACTAAAAACACAAAAATGAGCTAGGCATGGTGGCAGGCATCTGTAGTCCCAGATACTTGGGAGGCTGAGGCAGGAGAATCGCTTGAACCCAGGAGGTGGAGGTTGCAGTGAGCTGAGATCGCACCGTTACACTCCAGCCTGGGCAACAAGAGCAAAACACTGTCTCAAGAAACGAAAAAGATGCAGCCATGACAAAGAATGAGTTCATGTCCTTTGCAAGGACATGGATGAAGCCGAAAACCATCATTCTCAGCAAACTAACACAGGAACAGAAAACCAAACACCGCATGTTCTCACTCATAAGTGGGAGCTGAACAATGAGAATGCATGGACACAGGGAGGGGAACTTCACACACCGGGGCCTGTTGGAGGTGGGGGGCTGGCGGAGGAAGAGCATTAGGAGAAATAGCTAACGTAGATGATGGGGTGCAGCAAACCACCGTGCACGTGTATACCTATGTAACAAACCTGCACATTCTGCACGTGTCCCAGAACTTAAAGTATAATTTAAAAAAAAAAAGATAAGGAGAGAGAAGCACAGAGAGAACAGATCTCTGCAGCTAGTTCACGGTAGAGACGGAAGCTGAGCTCGCTTTTGGGGTTCCCCAAATCACACTAGTCCTTACTTTGTTCCCTAAACATCTGTGCTCTCAGGCATCTGCAGACTGTTTCTGGAAAGATCCACCAGAAACTGACATCCCATAATTGCTTCTGAGTAGCGGAGGAGGCAATGAAAAGGAGTCAGAGGGTCAGGCGTGGTGGCGCGCACCTGTAATCCCAGCACTTTGGGAGACCAACGTGGGTGGATCACCTGAGGCCAGGAGTTCGAGACCAGCCTGGCCAACATGGTGAAACCCTGTCTCTACTAAAAATACAAAAAATTAGCCAAATGTGGTGGCACATGCCTGTAATCCCAGCTACTTGGGAGGCTGAGGCAGGAGAATCGCTTGAACCTAGGAGGTGGAGGCTGCAGTGAGCAGAGATCGCACCGTTGCACTCCAGTCTGGGTGACAAGAGCAAAACTCGGTCTCAAAAAAAAGAGAAGAGCAGGGAAGAGGAGAGAAGAGGAAAGAAGAGAAGAGGAGTCAGAGGCTCTGAGGTGAGCAAGGAGAATGAGGTTTTTACGAAGTATCCGTAGGTATTTTGGAATACGTTTTGGAAAGAAAAAAAACAAAGCAGCAGCAGAGTCCTGTTTGCCCAAGTCGGATCTCAAGGGTGGGATGCAGGAATGAAGCAACATCAGACCCCTCCCCGGTCCATCCAAATCGTCTTCCGTTTCCTCTTTCTCGCAAATGAAGCAAAGCGTGTGCCTGTGTTACAGCAGGTGCTGAATCGCGGCTCTGCTGGCTCGGTGCCCAGACCTCCGGACGCAGGGATGACAGGGGACCTTCATTTAGCCTGGGTGCATTCCCTCTGACACTCCCAGAACCCATGGCATAACCTGGTTCTGCCACAAACCACGGAGGGTCCCCAGACATCTCTTCACCTACTTGGGCCTCAGTTTCCCCATCTCTATCATACAGAACATCTGAAACAACAGGGCATAATGGCTTCATGACAGTAATCCCAGAGTTTTGGGGGGCCAAGGTGGGAGGATGGCTTGAGGCCAGGAGTTCGAGACCAGCCCTGGCAACATAGCAAGAACCCTTCACTACAGCAAAAAAAATTTTAAAACTAGCCAGACATAGTGGTGTGTGCCGGCGGTCCCAGCTACTCAGGAGGCTGAAGTGGGAGGATCGCTTGAGCGCAGGAGTTCAAGGCTGCAGTGAGCTGTGATGGTGCACTCCACCCTGGGCAACAGAGCAAGACCCCAAGTCAAAAAGGAAAAGAACATCTGGCCGGGTGCGGTGGCTCACACCTGTAATCCCAGCACTTTGGGAGGCTGAAGCAGGCAGATTGTGAGGTCAGGAGATTGAGACCATCCTGGCCAACACGGTGAAGCCCCACCTCTATTAAAGGTGTGGTGGCGAGCGCCTGCAGTCCCAGCTACTCGGGAGGCTGAGCCAGGGGAACTGCTTGAACCCCGGAGGCAGAGGTTGCAGTGAGTGGAGATTTCTTCACTTGTGGAATTCTCTTTTTAAAAAATAGAGATGGGGTCTCACTATGTTGGCCAGGCTGGTCTTGAACTCCTGGCCTCAAGTGATCCTCCCGCCTTGGTTTCCCAATGTGCTGGGATTACAGGCGTGAGCCATCGTGCCCTGCTGCGAATGTTTGGTCACCTTACAAGACCCAACTCAAAGGTCGCTCCCCTGGGGAATCTTCTCGGGACCTCAACCCTGTGAGGTGGCTATGGCTCCCCCAATCTCAACAATCTTACTCCCATGGCCACATCCCAGCCCTGGCGTGTGAGAGTCTGGGATGTGGGAGACAGGGAAAGAGGCAGGTTGAAGATGGGGAGAGAGAGGAAGGAAAGGGAGAGACAGACAGCATTGATGGTGAGAGCTGGGGAAGAGAAGGGCTCCGGAGAGCAGAGATGGGAGGGACCCAGGGCAAAGCTTCCTGCTCCCAGGCCCCCACGAGACTCACCATGTTCTGGTCTTCTGAGCTCCCCGAGGATGGAAGGTCCCTCCCGCCCCAGGGCTGTGGTTTTTAAAGCCCTGAGGGAAGATGCAGGGAGGAAATGACCGTCTTGCTCTCTGGGGCTCTCATTGGTCTGCACCCTGGGCACTGAGGCTGGAGCTCCCTCTGCGGGGCACACACCCAGGGGACCCTAACCACTCCTCCCAGGCAGAGAAAGGAGGGCTGCGCTTGGAAAACCGAGGAAGTCCCTGTGCCAGCTCAGCCCCTCTCCTGTTCTCGGTTTCTGTATCTGGGGCCATCTCTCTCTCTCTCCCACCTCTTTTTTTTTTTTTTTTTTTTTTTTGAGACAGAGTCTTGCCCTGCTTCCCAGGCTGGAGTGCAGTGGTGCAGCCTCGGCTCACTGCAACCTCTGCCTCCCAGGTTCAAGCGATTCTCCTGCCTCACACTCCCAAGTAGCTGGGATTACAGGTGTGTATCATCCTGGCTAATTTTCTGTATTTTTATGAAAGATGGGGTTTCACCACGTTGGCCAGGCTAGACATGAACTCATGAGCTCAGGCAATCACCCACCTTGATCTTCCAAAGTGCTAGAATTGCAGGTGTGAGCCACTGTGCCCAGGCAGGAGCCATCTCTCTCTTTCCTCCTGAGGCCCCAGGCTTCTGGGGAAAAGCTGAGGAGTGCAGTTGGCTTAAACCCCTCCCTTGGGATTCAAGAAAGCAGAGATTGTGACCCCCACTTAGCCTCCCAACAGGACTGATTTGAGGCCCAGAGAGGCCAAGCAAGTCTGCAAAGGTAGCCCAGTGTTTGGGTGTACTTTACTGTTAAATCTTCCTTCTGCCTGGTGCGATGGCTCACACCTGTAACCCCAGCACTTTGGGAAGCCAAGCGGGGTGGATCATGAGGTCAGGAGTTCGAGACCAGACGGAAGAACATGATGAAACCCCCAGCTCTACTAAAAATACAAAAAATAAAAATAAAAAATTAGCCAGGCATGGTGGCGCGTGGCTGTAGTCCCAGCTACTCAGGAGGCTGAGGTAGGAGAATCACTTGAACCCCGGAGACAGAGGTTGCAGTGAGCCGAGATCGTGCTACCGCACTCCAGCCTGAGTGACAGAGCGAGACTCCATCTTAAAAAACAAAACGGGGTCGGGCGCGGTGGCTCACGCCTGTAATCCCAGCACTTTGGGAGGCCGAGGCGGGTGGATCACGAGGTCAAGAGATCGAGACCATCCTGGTCAACATGGTGAAACCCCGTCTCTACTAAACATACAAAAAATCAGCTGGGCACGGTGGCGCGTGCCTGTAATCCCAGCTACTCAGGAGGCTGAGGCAGGAGAATTGCCTGAACCCAGGAGGCGGAGGTTGCGGTGAGCCGAGATCGCGCCATTGCACTCCAGCCTGGGTAACAAGAGCGAAACTCCGTCTCAAAAAAAAAAAAAAAAGAAACAAAAAAACCTTCTTCTAGGGCCAAGTGCAATGGCTCATGCCTATAATCCCAACCCTTCGGGAGGCTGAGAGTGGATCACCTGAGGTCAGGAGTTCAAGACCAGTCTGGCCAACATGGTGAAACCCCGTCTCTACTAAAAATACAAAAATTAGCCAGGCATGGCAATGAATGCTTATAATCCCAGCTACTCAGGAGGCTGAGGCAGGAGAATTACTTGAGCCCAGGAGGCAGAGGTTGCAGTGAGCCGAGATTGCACCATTGCACTCTAGCCCAGGCTGACAATACCGAGTCTCCATCTCAAGAAAAAAAAGATCTTCCTTCTAGGGCTATGAAGTTGGCGAGAGAAGACGGTGCTACCCCCCACTCCACAGCCACAACCATCTCCGTCTGGAAAATGGGTCCACGCTTCACCCTCTCCAGTTTCATTCTGGGTTCTCTAAGACCATGGTCCCCAACCTTTTTGGCACCAAGGACTGGTTTTGTGGAAGTCAATTTTTCTACAAACCAGAGGTGGTGGGAGATGATTTTGGAACGATTCAAGTGTATTACATTTATGATGTACTTTCTATTATTGTTACATTGTAATATACAATGAAATAATTATGGCCGCGCGCAGTGGCTCACACCTATAATCCCAGCACTTTGGGAGGCCGAGGAGGGCAGATCATCTGAGGTTGGGAGTTCAAGACTAGCCTGACCAACATGGAGAAACCCCATCTCTACTAAAAATACAAAATTAGCCAGGTGTGGTGGTATGCCCCTGTAATCCTAGCTACTGGGAGGTGGAGGATGAGGCAGGAGAATTGCTTGAACTTGGGAGGCAGAGGTTGCAGTGAGCTGAAAGTGTACCATTGCACTCCCAGGGAACAAGAGTGAAACTCCATCAAAAAAAAGAAAGAAAGAAGAGAAAGGAAAGAAAGAGAGAAGGAAAGCGGGAAAGGGAAAGGAAAGGAAAGGAAAGGAAAGGAAAGGAAAGGAAAGGAAAGGAAAGGAAAGGAAAGGAAAGGAAGGGAAAATTATGTAACTCACCATAATGTAGAATCCGTGGAACCTCTGACCTGTTTTCCTGTAACTAGAGGGTCCCATCTGGGGAGATGGGAGACAGCGACAGATCATCATCATTAGATTCCCATGAGGAGTGTGCCGTCTAGAGCCCCCGAATGCGCAGCCCCAATAGGGTTCATGCCCTTGCTGAGGGACTATGTTAACTTCTCTTTCCGGGTCCACAGGGGGCGTGGTTTCAAAGGCAAGAGCTTCCCAGCGCCACACCTGTCTCCACCCCGGCATCCAGGAGCTTAGAGTTCTTTGCCTAACTTTCCCACAGCAGAAGGTAGACAGCCCAGGTGAGCTTCCTTTGTTTAAAAAGCCCGCCAAAAGCCTTGGAAGGAGGGGCTCTGTTGCGAGCCAGGCAACCAATCCAGCATCAGAGTCCGAGATCAATCACTCCAGAGGACGTTTGGAAAAGCTCCTCCCACTGGACGAGAGCTTGAATGGGGCGGGAGTAACTTCGAGGTTAAAATCCCCCCACTCCCGCCGGGCGCGGTGGCTCAAGCCTGTAATCCCAGCACTTTGGGAGGCCGAGGCGGGTGGATCACGAGGTCAAGAGATCGAGACCATCCTGGTCAACATGGCGGAACCCCGTCTCTACTAAAAATACAAAACATTAGCTGGGCATAGTGCCTGTGATCCCAGCTACTCAGGAGGTTGAGGCAGGAGAATTGCCTGAACCCAGGAGGCGGAGGTTGCAGTGAGCCGAGATCGCGCCATTGCAGCCTGGGTAACAAGAGCGAAGCTCCGTCTCAAAAAAAAAAAAAAAGGCCGGGCGCGGTGGCTCAAGTCTGTAATCCCAGCACTTTGGGAGGCCGAGGCAGGCGGATCACGAGGTCAAGAGATCGAGACCATCCTGGCCAACATGGTGAAACCCCGTGTCTACTAAAAATACAAAAATTAGCTGGGCATGGTGGCGTGCGCCTGTCATCCCAGCTACTCGGGAGGCTGAGGCAGGAGAATTGCTTGAACCCAGGAGGCGGAGGTTGCGGTGAGCCGAGATTGTGCCATTGCACTCCAGCCTGGCGCCTGGTGACAGAGTGAGACTCTATCTCAAAAAACAAACAAACAAACAAAAAATCCCCCCAATCCCCCTCCTCCCTTACCTATAGGGACTCCATCCCTGGATCCCCTCCCCTGACAGCGTGGGAGCTCACTGGCTCGCTCGCTGGCGCTCTCTCCCTCTCTCTCTCTCTCTCTATCTCTCTCTCTCTCTCTCTCTCTGCCTAATAAGTCACTTTTCTGCAAAGCTCTTTGGGTCCAATATTTACTTGAACAATATTACCGCACTGCCTGGGTCTCCTCCCCATTATTGGGTGAGTGAAAGCCCAAGGACCTGGAAAAAAACACATCCCACCGGGGAACATTGAGACTCTTTGGAATGCCCCTGCAGCCCTGCTCCTGTGTCCCCCCCACCCCCCCCTTACCCTGTGAGAACCTAATGCCACTGCTGATCTAACAGGAGGCGGAGCTCCGCAGTAATATGAGCAAAGGATCGTGGCTACAAATACAGATGAAACTTCGCTCTCCCACATGCTGGTCACCTCCTGCTATGCCACATGGTTCCTAACTGGCCATGGACCCGTGCAGGTGTGCAGCCCAGGGGCTTGGGGATGGGGACCCCTGCTCTAACACACCTGCTAGAGCCTGGAGTGAGGAAGGAGCCTAGATTACCTTCCTGTGGCTGCTGTAACCAATTAGCATAAAACGGCGGCGTAAAACACCAGGGCTGGGCACGAGTGGCTCACACCTGTAGTCCCAGCACTTTGGGAGGCCGAGGCAGGCAGATCACCTGAGGTCAAGAGTTCGAGATCAGCCTAGCCAACATGGCAAAACCCTATATCTACTAAAAATACATTAATTAGCTGGGTGTGGTGGTACCTGCCTGTAGTGCCAGCTACTAGAACGGGGAAGGTGGAGGTTGCGGTGAGCCAAGTTCACTCCACTGCACTCCAGCCTGGGCTACAGAGCAAGACTCCATCTCAAGGGGAAAAAAAGAAAAGAAAAGAAAAAAACAAACAATGAATCTGGCATGGTTCTGCAAGCCAGAAGTCCAAAAATCAAGATGTCAGCACTCCCCCCAAAGGCTCCAGGGGAGAATGTGTTCCCTGCCTCTCCCAGCTTCGGGTGGCTCCTGGCATTCCTTGGCTTGTGGCTGCACCACGCCTGTCTCTGCCTCTGTGGTCCCATCACCTCCTCCTCTACCGTAAGTCTCATATTTCTCTCCCTTCCGCATATAGGGACTCCTGTGATTCCACTGAGCCCACCCAGACAATCCAGTATAATCACTCCCCCATCTAAAGTTCCTTAACTTAATCCCATTTGCAAAGTCCCTTTTGCCATGGAAGGTCACCTGTTCACAGGTTCAGGGGGTTAGGATGTGACATCATCGGGGCCATGATTCTGTCTGCTACAGGGTCTGAGAAGCTAGAGAGTAAGCGTGTCTAGGGATGGAGAGAAGCCTTGAATGCCGAGCTAAGGAGCCTGGACATGGCTTTCCATTCAAAACAGATCATGACCTGTCAACCTCTCACAACGGCTCTGTTACCCAGATCCAAATGACTATCACCTCCTGCTGGGACCATGGCAGTAGCCTCCTCTCGGGGCTCCTCACTGCCGCCCCCATAGTCTCATCTCTACCAGCAACCAGAGGGATCCTATT